GATGTGATGTTTTGAATGTAAAATTGATTTTTAGTATAATATAAAAAATGAAAAATAGGTATTTGATTTGATTTGATATTTTTACTACTCACATTGTAAAAGCGAATTTTATGTTTTTCAATTTTTTTTTCCACATCAATAAATTTATTAATTTATTTAATACAAAATTTATATAATATAATATACTATTATTTAAAGGAAAATTGTTGAAGAATTATTATAAGATAATTAGGATGTTATTAATTTATTTATTTAATTTTAAAAAATTTAAATTTATGTACTGTAGTTTATAGTATTTTTTAACTGGAATGTTTTTAATTATGTAGTATCTTGTGTTTGTTTTATTATTAGTGCAATATTTTAATTTATTTCTAATAAATGTATATTTTATGCATACATATTTTATTAAATAAAAATTATTTTAAATTACAATAATTTATATACTAATTATTTAATAGAATAAAAATAAAAAATTATAATTATATAAATTATTTAATTTTATATATTGAGTAAAAAATATAATTATAGTTATAAATATAATATAGTATAATATAACATATATTATAAATAAGTATTCTTTTTAACATAAATTATTTTTAAATAAAAATATGTGATATCAAATTTATTTTGTATTGATTATTTTATCTTAGCATAGATCAAATTTATTAAATATTTAATACCTTCTAAAGTAAATAATAAATTTATATTACGAATTTTTTTATGTTAAATAAAAAAAATTATTATACATTATATTTCATATTAAAGAAAATTTAAATTGAAATATAATACTTTTGAAAGTAAAATTATAAATTAAATAAAAAATAAAAATAAAAATAAAAATAAAAATAAAAACATGATCACATTTGAAGTTGAAATCATAGCAATTGCAGGCATCACCTTGATTATACCATCCAAGATGCTCAAGAGGATCTCACTACTCTAATATGTCTCTATTGATGGGGACAAATAATTCAAATAAATTAAATAAAAAATTTAAAAATTATTATAATAAATATCCCTACAATATTTTGAAGAAAAAGTGACAGAAAATATATATATATTTTTTATATATATAAAAGGTAAGTATTTTATATTTTTGAAAAAAAAAATACACTTTAGTATAAACCATCTTTCAAAAATACAAAAAAAAAGTATTATGTGTCTCGCAAAAAGAGTAACATTTGTTTTTTGCATGTAGATTTTTGAATATTAGTATTATATCCATCTGTCCAGTTAGAAAGTATACATGTTTCTATTTTGGGACGTCCAATTACAAAGTAAACATTTCATTAAATACCTTACTTTTTTCCACAAATACCCTACTTTACATCACATCATTACTTTTACACCAAAAAGCAAGGGCAAAAATGTCATTACACTACTTTTAACTACCCACTGTAATTAAAATACTATTATTTCTTAAACACCGCGCCAAAAGTAATTGTATACTTTTTTTGTGGACGGAGGGAGTATTAGTTTATAGTATAAAAGATCAAAATGCCCCTATTAGATTGTGCGATAAAAAAATAATGACATTTGTATAATATATTGAAAATTGTAAGGGTATTATTAATTATATTAGACAGATAGTAAATTACTAAATTAAGAAATTGGATTTTTTTTTTTGGGACGGACAAAAATAAAAAATGGTATCCTTTCTTATGGGACTGAGGGAGTATTGTAATTGCAAATTGATCAATATGTAATATGAGTTTGTTTGACTGTGGTTTGAAAGTAAGTATTAGATTTAAAATTTTGTTTAAATAATATTTTGATATGATATTTTATGAGAAAAAAATGATATATTTTTATTAAAAACCAAGCGAATAAAAAATACTCTCTGAGCTACAGATCACTCATTTTCTTTCTTGTCTATCTCATAAAAGATGATCAATTTTTATTTTTAGTAAATTTATTCATCTTAAACATACTTAATAAATATAAATTAATTTAATTAAATTTTTAACGGACCACTCAAAACTCTTTTATTTTTATCTCTCTTCTTAATAAACAAATATTTTTATCTATATTTAAAACTTCTCAATTTTTTTATAAAATTAGTTTGAAGTTAATTATAAATAAAGAAATACATATTTTTATTTATTTGTATTATATAAAATTTTATTATTTAAAAAATGATATATGTATTGCATATATTTTATTGATATATAATCTGAAAATATTTAAAATGCAAACAACAGTATTCATATAAAAATTAATAAAATAATAGTATAACTTATTATTGATAATTTATTCATTAACACGGCCTAAAATACTGTGTCCCTAACAAGGTTCATTTTCTCCCGGACAGAACGAATATTAATTTCAATTCACCCATATATATGAGAGTGATTTTTCTTCTTCTTTTTTTTTTAAAAAAACAATACTCCTAAATCATTTTAACATTATATTATATATAGAAAATGGAAGAATAATGATAATGCATAATAAATAAATAAATAAATAAATAATCAAAGCATATTATATGATTTTTATAATTTCTACTGAAATATATTGATAAACTTAGTCAAATAATAAATTATTAAAAAAAATTTGTTTGATCGTAATTTAAAATTAGTTTAAAATATAAAATTTTTTATTTAAATTTTTATTTAAATAATATTCGATGTTAATTTGAAGTTTTATTTAAATAATATTTTGATATAATATTAATACTATATGTTTTTTTTTAAACCCTAAAGATTCTTTCAACACAAACAGAATGGGAAGTAATTATGCCATCCTCATTCTTTTGTCACTTCAATTATTTTTTGTCAACAGTTACGCATGCATAAATATATATATATATATATATTATAAAATTAAATATAATTAAAATATTAAATCATTTTTAGAAATATAAAGTAATAATGTATTTTTATCTGTTTGAAAAGTAAATTACTTTTAGATGTGATACTCTATATGAAAGCTCTATTTATTTTCATATCTTTAATATAATAATCCCTCCGTCCTATATAATATAGGTGTATTACTGTAGACACAGAAATTTAGTTAAAGTATAATTAGTAAATAATTAAGAAATATATTATTAAAAATAATTATTATTTAGTAAAAATAATTATAAAATAAAATTAAGATAATTAAATAGTTTAATTAAAATTAAAAAAATTTAAAATATGATTAAAGTGTATAATTAATTTTCCAAAAAATAAAATGACAAATTACGTGGGACGGACGAAAAATATAAAATAGGGATAAATTATGTGGGACGTAGGGAGTAATAATTTTTATTATTACATATATTTTATATTGAATTGAAGAATAAAATTCTCTTAAATTTGATATTAATTATTTTCGTTCCGATTTTTGTAATATTTTTCGTAACGTACGTTGTCTCGATGTCCATAACCCAACAATTATAATTCATAGTTTGTATCAGAGAAAAATAAATATAACATTTTCTTTAATAACTATATGATCAAAATAAATATATGTTTATATATATATAATTACTATTATATCTTTTATATTATATATATATATATTCAATTATATGTAGGAAAATATATTTTACGTATTTCATAGTCAAATTTAGTTATGACATTTTTTAAGTTACATAAATAAAATAAAAATTATATATAAATCAAATTAAATTAATTTCGGTCTAATCGCCAAACTAATTCAACAAAAGCTTAGTTTTAATTAATCAAACAAATATATATTTGATTTATTTAATATTACAAATGATATTTATCTTTGTAATTTATTTTAAACAAATAAATTTTATATCAAAATATTGTGTTTTTTTATTAAATGATTCAATTTTCTGTTATATAATTTTATTTTTTTATTTTATTTATTGTTATATAAAGATATTTAGGCATTTTAAAACAAATTATTTACTACTCTCTTTCGTCCACCATTAAATTTTTTATTTGATTTTTGCACATAACTTAAGGTAATTAGTATTATATATATAATATAAAGTAATATAATGTCATTTTGGTATTTAATTAAGAGTAATTTTTTTAAAAAGAATTTTTTTTTTTTTTTTTTTTTATTTAAACAGACTAAAATGACAAATGAAAAGTTTACTAGTGTTAAAATATATTAAAATTTATTAATAAATTATACTCCATCTGTCCTAATTATTCATAATACTATTTTTATTATTTTCGTTGGTCATAATTATTCAAAAAACTCGTTTTTTTATATAGTAAAAATAATCATACACTAATACTAATATACATTAATTTTTATTTAAACTACAAATATACTATCACACATACAATTATTATTACAAAACAAAAATATCAAAATATTGACTAATAAAATACTATTATTTCTTAATCTACTACTCCCTCCGTCCCTCTGCCAAATTTACTCTCACTTTTCTTTTTAGTATGTCCCTTAAATTTCCTCAATTACTAATTTTGTCAAATTCAATAAATCAACATTTAACTATTATTATCCATTCAGCACTTATTTACAACAAATGTCACTATCTTTATTATATTATTTTTCCTTATTTTTTAAATTTATAACTTAGTTTCCAAAAATACTTCAAACTATTTTTTTACTTTTATCACTTTTTTAATAAAATATTCATTTTTTTAATCTACGTATTAGACCCAAATGTTCTAATTTTTACGGACGGAGGGAGTATAAATGTGTTTACTTGTAAAATTATGGTTTTTGGTTTTGATTTTGAATAGTAAAATTTTGTATTGAAATAGTTATTTGATGTAATATAAATACGTATTAATGTGATATTTTAAACGTAAAATTATATGTTAGTACAATAAAATTTTAAAAAAATAAATATTTAATTTAATATTTTTGAAAGTAAAAAAAAAAAAATTAAATAATAAAATAAAACATAAAATTCTACGACTAAACACACCCAATGATCTTTTTAAAAAAGGACTTACAAAATTTATTTATATAATGGTATTTTATTTATTTATATATTAGGGTACGAAGCCGTATATATACAGACACTATACGATCGGCTCTTTCATTGTAATATACTTCTCAAAATGCTCGCCGCCCCCTGCCATTTCATCACCTCTGCGCCGCCGCCACGTATGTCTCCGGCGGCGACCTACATCACCACGCACCGGCCAACAATCCCACGCGCCGCCGCGGCGACGACTACAACTACAACAACCACCGCCCCGAGGCGAACGCCGACGGTACACCCCGATTCCGACGCGGCGGACGACGACGCCGCGTTGGCCGTCGGCGACTACCGATCGCTCTTCACCTCCCAACGGGCGGAGATCACGGCGCCGATCAGCCTCCGCCTCGTCGGCGGCGCGTTGCCGGCCGACTTCCCGACCGGAACTTACTACCTCACCGGACCGGGGCTCTTCGCCGACGACCACGGCTCCACCGTCCACCCCCTCGACGGCCACGGCTACCTCCGGTCGTTCCAAATCGACGGCGGCGGGGTGGAGTTCATGGCGCGGTACGTGGAGACGGAGGCGCAAGCCGACGAGCGGGAGCCCGACGGCGGCGCGTGGCGGTTCAAGCACCGCGGGCCGTTCTCGGTCCTCCGCGGCGGCAGGATGATCGGAAACACGAAGGTGATGAAGAACGTGGCGAACACGAGCGTTCTCCGGTGGGGGGGCCGGCTCTTCTGTCTCTGGGAGGGGGGCGACCCCTACGAGTTCGAGCCTCGTACGTTGGCCACCGTCGGGAAGATCGACCTCGTCGGCGGCCGGAAAAGGTCGCCGGAAAAGAGTTTGGGAAGAGCCGGGCCGGATTTTGCTGACGTGGCTGCTCATTTCTTGAAGCCGATATTGCACGGTTAGGCAACGCGTGTCATATTCTAATTGAACTGAATTATTTAGCGTTTTCACAATACTATATTTATTAAATGGAGTATATTATTTTTATTTAAATCGTACTTTAATTACTCCCGCAAATATAATTACATACTTTAAATAAATTTTAATTTTTAATTTTAATTAAATTAAATTATTTAGTTATTTTAGTCTAATTTTATAATTATTTATATTATATAATAATATTTTTAGTAATATTTATTAATTATTTACTAATTATATCTTACTTAAATTATCGTATCTACTATTACTAAAAAGTATAATATTAAAATATTACTTAACTAAAATTCACATAAATACTTTGTTTTAAATAAATTTCTAACCAAAAAAAAATCTTTAATTAGTCTTTCTCTTCCAACTCTTCTTTCTTTCTTTTTCGGGTGTGTTTGTCTGGGGGTTTGGATTTTGAATTGGGATTTGAATAGTAAAAATTTTGAATTTGAATAGTTGTATGATGTGATATAAATAGGGTTTGATGTGATGTTTTGAATGTAAAATTGATTTTTAGTATAATATAAAAAATGAAAAATAGGTGTTTGATTTGATGTTTTTGGGGGGAAAAAATTGGATGAACAGTGAAAATCCACCAAAATCCTTCAAACAAACACACCCTTCATTAATTAAAAACTATAAGCTTTGTTGGCATTAGATGAACTTTGTATTTAAAGAGCAGCATCTCCAAGTTCCAATATTATTAAAAAGAGTTATATATATACACAAAATTTTAAAATAATTAAAAATTAATATTTGATAGTAGTATTATATTTTATGAAAAAATATATATATATATATATATAATAGGACACCTTTTGAAAAAAAATATTATTTATTCCGAAAAGGCTCTAAAAGTGTCTATCTAAACGGTGATATTTATTTTTATATAAAATATCATATATATATCTAATAAATATTTTAATTAAAATTAAAATATTCATAACACAAATATAACATACCATTCTTGTGAAATTGATTTTGATTCCAAGTCAAAATACTACTGTTCAATCAACATTGTTTTTTTTTTTTTTTTTAATATAAATATATATATTAATAAAATGTTTAATTAAAATATCATTTAAAACAAAATCTTAAAGTAAAATATACATTTTTTAGTAAGTTAGATTATTACTATAAATTATAAATACATTCAATTTTTATTTATTTCATAAATATCATTACATTTAGTTAAAACATAAGAACAAAATACACATAAAACTACTCACCAACTAAGATTTAAACGGTAAATTGATTTTTTAGTCCCGTAACTGACATTTTTATCATTTTAGTTCCGTAACTGACATTTTTATCATTTTAGTCCCGTAATTGAAATCTGTCGCCAATTAGTTTTGTAAGTGAATTTTTTTTACACTTTTAGTCTTCCGACGCCGAAGATGCCTATATGACACCCGCGTGGCTTGTCGGAGGATACGTGTCTTCTAGGTCATCGACGATACCTGACGGACACGTATAATTTTATTTTATTTTATTTCAAAATAATTTATTTATTGTCTTTTTTGTAAGAAATCATTTTTTAAAAAAAATAAAAATAAAAAATTTATAAAAAAATATTTAAAATCCACGTGGCGGTCACATGTCATTCGGGAGCCACATGGTAGGCATGTCCGGCGTCAGATGGCTAAAATTGCGAAAAAATTTTACTTATGGGACTAGTTTTCGACAAACTCCAGATACGAAACTAAAATAATAAACTTAAAAATTAATTTTACTTTAAAAATATTATATTAATACTTATTTATAATATATTAAACAATTATACAAATATAAAATTTTGCATATCATATCACACCTTTTATTTCGTCTGTTTTATATATTATGACACTTTTTTAAAAACCTTTTTTTTTATATTTTAATCATATTTTATAATTTATAATATTTTAAAATTTTTTATTGAACTAATTAATTCTGTTAATACTACTTTATAATTATTTATGTCATATTGTACTTAATTTTAATAATATTTTTAATTATTTATTCTTTTCTTGAATTTTCGTGTGTACGATAACTGCGATGCGATATTAGGAACAAAGGTGTACTAAAATTCAATTCTCAAACCCACGAACAAGATTATGTTTGTTTGAAGATTCTTACCCCCAACTCTAATTATTTATGATTTTTTTAAAAAAAAATATTATAAAATTAAATATATATTTTTTATATATACTAAATTAATATTTAAGAGTATTTATATCACATGAGTGAATTTGATGAAATCCATATTTTATAATTTTAAAATTTTTTTTATATTAGGTATATATAAAAATAATTTATTTACGAAAAAAATCAACTTATGACCTGACCACTAGACCACCTCATGAAGTTAATATTTGATATATTTTCAATTCGAATTTTTGCAATAAAAATACTAAATAAAAAAATAAATTCTACTTTTTACTTATTTTTCTTAAAATTCGTGCTCGATCAAATGAGTATAACATTGGATGACTGAGGGAATAATACATTCATATTATACTCCATCGGTCCCACTTCTCATGTCTACTTTTTTTTTTTTTTATTTCCGCATGTCGCACTTACTCTGTCACTTTCATTTTTTTGGAAAAAAATTATATACTTTAATCTTATTTTTAAAAAATTAATTTATAATTTTTTTAATTTTAATTATATTAATTAGTTATTTTAATCTTAATATTATTTTTATTATAGGATAATTATTTTCACTAATATATTTTTAATTATATTGCTCATAAATTTTTGTATTTACAGTAAAACATACAAAATATTCAAATATTCGGGACGAATGGAGTATTTTTTTTAATTAAAATTTGTTTTTAGTACTTATTTTTCAATTTAAAAATATATAAATTTGCAGGAATCTTCAAGATGCCAGCAAAGAGAGTATTGGCTCATTACAAAATAGATGTAAGAAGGAACAGATTATTGATATTGTCGACCAATGCAGAGGACATGTTGCTGCCCAAAAGTCACTTCACTTTTTACGGTACGGTAACCATTAAAAAAAATTAAAAAAAAAAAATTATAGTAGATTCTATAACAATTGATATATATATATATATATATTTCTATTTTATAATAATCTAAATATTTTTATTTGAGTAAAATTAATTAAATAAAAATATATTTAACAAATATGAATCAATTTAATTAATTACATAATATATAATATCATAAATCATAGATTTTATTCAAAATCTCTTTATTTATATATATATTTAAAAAAATAAAGAAATACTTTTTACTACATTTAAAATTTTACATTTTTTTATAAAATTAGTTTAGGTTAATTATAAATAAATATAAGTATTTTTTTTTATTTAGTTTGTACTATAAAATTTTTTATTTTTTATAAAATGATATTCATATTATATATATATTTTATACTGCGATATATTTTTTAAAATATTTAAGTATATATTCTAATTTTTTAATCATATATTAAATTTATTTAAAAAACATGAATATTATTAATTATGTAAAAATAATAAAATAATATTATAATTCACTATTATTAACTAATTAAATATTATTTTATTAAATATCGTATTATTAACAAAATGATTCAATTATATTGGAATAGAGAGTATTAAATAATTACTCCTTCCATCCTATCTAACTTGTCATTTTCTTTTTTGAAAATATGATTATACACTTTAATTATATTTTAAATTTTATAATTTTTTAAATCTAAATTAAAATATTTAGTTATCTTAATTTTAATTTATAATTATTTTTACTATACAATAATTATTTTTAGTAATACATTTTTTAATTACTTACTAATTATACTTTACCTAAATTCACGTGTGACTGTAAGACGCCCAAATTACCTAGGAGGGAGTACTATAGTTGGATATGCTCAATTTACGTACATTTAATTTATTTATTTTTTATTTAAATGTAGTAATATTTATATAAATATCTATTAATATATTAATTTTTATGGCCAAATACTGTGTTCCAATTATTATTTAGGTTTTGTTTGTTTTGTCTTTTATTTAAATAATATTTTTGGTGTGAAATATAGAGAATTGTATCGGTTATAATATAAAAAATAAAATTTTTATATTAAATATATATGTGAGAAAATAAAATATATATTGAAAATCGTGTTCGAAAGAAAATCTTAAGCAAACAAATCCTTAAAATGTGTTTGCCCAACATAATTTTTTTTTTATACAATTCTGGATTTATATTATAAAAAAATAAAATATATATATTCATACATAAAAAAATTTTATTACTATTTTTTTATATTACTAATAATTTTTAAATATTTAACATTAAAAAAATATATCTATTTAAAAATACAAAGTAATTAGAGTTATTGTAGCACACATCTATCTATGTATAATTAATATAAAAATTTAAATCTAACCCTAGTCCTGTGAACAAGAAATGCTACTATTATTGTTTATATCGAATCAACTATCTATATTTAATTAATTATTAAAAAATTTAAAAAATATATATGATTTCAGAATTCGACAGTAATTTTAATATGGTACAAAGTCGAGGATTCACGGTCCCGGACCACCTTATGCTCCATGACTGGGCTTTCACTGATTCGCATTACATATTATTTGGGAACAGGATTAAGCTTGATGTTCCAGGTAATTTTTATTTTTAATTTAATTTAATTTCCAGTTACTATTATTATTATTAATTTTTTCATTTTATTAATATTGAATTAAAATTAATTGGAAAAAAATTAATTTTGGTCCAAATATAACCAAAATTTATCAATTTTGGTTCTAATATAAAAAACTCATCAATTTTAGTCTCAATATTAACAATTTCAATCAATTTTGGTCATACCGTTAAAAAACTAACGGAAATTGCTGACGTAGACATAACATAGGTTATGTGGCAGTTAGCTTGGAAAGTACACGGACTAAAATTGATGAGTTTTTTTTTTTTATAATTGGACTAAAATTAATAAATTTTAGTTATATTTGGACTAAAATTGATATTTACCAAATTAATTTATTAATACATGGAATTAATTAGTAATTAGCACAATTCTCGAACATATAAAATGACAAAATGGTCTAAGATGCTATTTCTTGGACACATATGTGATGCTGATTTTTGGCTCTTGTAAGAATAATAGTAATTTATTAATTATTATTACATAGATTTTTGGATGGAAAAATAAAGGGGGTTAAATTATATAGATTTATTGTTTAGTTGTGTTTATAAATTTTTATTCCTATGTTTTATTTATAATAGTAAATTCATTTTTATTCTCTAAAATATATTATAGATTTATTTTTATTTAATATACTTCCTCCTAACAATTAAATATCTATTTGCTTTTTGCACGTAGTTTTAGAAATATTAGTATTATATTGGGATACAGTAGGAATAAAATAGAAATGATTAAAATAACTTTATTAGTACGTGTGATATAAAGGTAATGACATTTGTATAATATATTGTAAGTTGTAAGAGTATTTGTAATGTTAGGTAGATAATAGAGTTATTAAAAAAAGGAAATGAATACTTTGTTATGGGACGGACTAAAATGAAAAAATGGATACTTTATTATAGGACGAATGGAGTATTATATTTGAAAATTATTTTTCATTTAATATCTCACGTCAAATATATATTAAATAATTATTATAATTTTAAAAACTTACTATTATTAAGGATCTATTTGTTTATGGATTTTCAATAAAAAAATTAATATTCACTATTTCTTTTTTAAAAAAAAAAACATAACAAATTAAATAGTTATTTTTTATTTTTATATAATAATAAATATTAAATTTATATTGAAAATATTATGTAAATACTTATTTATATCGAATAATTATTTTAATCAATATTTATTGTTCATAACTCAAAATTCAACTTTCAAATGCACAAACAAATACATCATGTTTCTTTTTAATTGGTTTGGAAAATTTTGATTTGAATTTGGTATTAAAATGTACGATGAAATATTTTGTGAAATAAATATATATTTTTTTAAACACAGAGTCCAAATAGTAGAAATTGAAGGTATTTTATTGACAATGGAGATGTGTAAAATATTTTGATATTTTTGTCATTTAATATAAATTAATTATATATGTAATGATATTTTTGTAATTAGGTAAAAAATTTAGGTATTTGGTATTAATACATTTATTAAAATAAGATACAGATAAAAATAGACTAAAGTAATAAAAATAGTAATTTGAGTTTACACTGTGTTTGTTTGGGGGAGTGGATTGGATTTACACTATTCGTCCAATTTTTTTCCCTCAAAAATATCAAATCAAACACCTATTTTTTATTTTTTATATTATACTAAAAATCAATTTTACATTCAAAACATCACATCGTATAACTATTCAAATTAAAAATTTTTACTATTCAAATCCCAACTTAAAATCCAAACCCCCAAACAAACACACCCTAAGGGAATAACTCTTACCCACTTCTTAATATACTTCCTCTGTCCCATAAGAAATGTGACACTTGCTTTTTGCACGTAGATTTTTTAATATTAATATTATATTATATTATAGTAAAAAAGACAATAATACCCCTATTAGTATGGTATAATATAAAAGTAATGACATTTGTGTAATATAATGTAAGTTGAAAGGGTAATTATTATGTTAGGTAGTTAATACAATTACTAAATTAGAAAATGGTAACCTTGTTTTGGGATGAACGAAAATAAAAAATGGTAACCTTTCAATTAGGGTTAGCGTAGCAGTTAGTCTACAAGCAATGGGATGGAGAGAGCATATCATTCAATATTATTTTTATTTACAAATATATTATTACTATTTATACACTCAATTTTATCAAAAGTTTTCTTTCTACTTATTAACTTATTTACATACTTTTCAAAATAATCTTTATTTTATAAGTATTACAATTAATTAATATAATAATATAATTATTCTGTCATTTAAATTTATTTTTTTATTTATTTTTTTATTTTTATAGTAAAAAATATCATTTTCATATTTTTTTTACCTTAAAAAATATTTATATATTAATAATCTTAAAATTCATATCTGATCAAATAAATATATATATATTTTGTCCGGAGTATCATTAAAAAAAATCATATTTTTGTGGAGAGAGAGAAAAAAATATTGAATTGGGACAATAAATTAAAATTTGAGATTGATATGATATGGGAACAAGAGTAGAGTATATGTAATAATTGACGAATGAAATATTATTTTTAATTACGATTTTTCAAATAAAAAATAATAAAAAAGATTTAAAGTAATTTTTTTTAAAAAATAAATATTTATTATAAAAAATCAAAAAAATCATTAAAAAAATTAAAAGAATTAAATATTCAACTTTTAATATATTTATTTTATATTTCTAACACAATTTATGGTACTATAGCGGATGAACAGAATTTGTATACTGCACTGCAGGTTCAATGGCGGCAGTGTGCGGTGTGAGTCCGATGATAAATGCTTTGTCTGTGAATCCCAGCAAGCCCACCACCCCAATATATATACTCCCCAGGTTCCCCAGCTCCGGGACTCCTACTCCTGGTCCTACCGTCGTCGAAGCACCCTCTCAAATGTGGGTCCTCCACGTCGCCAATGCCTTCCAGCAAATCTCCTGCGGCGGCGCCGCCACCTCCATCCACATCCAGGCCAGCGCCTGCTCTTACCGCTGGTTCAATTTCCAGAAAATGTTTGGTATATCTGTGGATTAATTATTATAATATATATAATATATAATTAATCCATTTTTTTAATTTGTTGTTAAATATATAAATCTTAATATTAATATTAATATTAATATTAATTAATGTTGTACGGACAGGATATGACTGGAAGACTGGAAAATTAGACCCTGGAATGATGAATCCCCACCAACACAAACACCTTCCACATTTAGTCCAGGTCCTTGCCTGCAAGCATGCATGAAATTTATTTAATAGTTAAATCAGTGATTTAATTTAGTGAATATATATATATATATAATCAAGATAAATCGTGCATATTTTTATTAATACTCCTCCTTTTCATTCCAAAGAATTTTTTGGAATTTTATAATAAATTAGAAAATAATTGTATTTTATTTTATTTTATTGACTTAATGAAAATAGGTTAAAAAAAATTGATATTTTTGTCATTCAAATAATTGTATAGAAAAATCAGCACCAGCATAAGTAAAATATGAAAACATCACACATATTTATTAAATACAACATGTGTTATTTGTAATAAAAATATGTGTTGTTAATTCATAATTATAGCGTATGTTGTAGGAGAGTAGGTCGTGTACTAAAATTAAGTATTGTATGTGCTGTGTGAGAGTATATTATTTGTTGTTAGGTTATATGTTGTATTTATATTATATTAAAATGGTAACAGGTGAGCATAGAGTTGGATTCTGAGGGCAAGTGTCAAAGCTGCGACGTGAAGGATCTGAACCGGTGGGCCCGAGCCGCCGATTTTCCGGTCATCAATCCGGCCTTCTCCGGTGCCGGAAACGGCTATGTTTACGCGGCGACGACGTCGGGATCACGCCGCACTCTGCCGCATTTTCCATTTCATTCGGTCCTGAAGTTGAATTTGAACGACGGTTCAAGCCATACTTGGTCGGCCGGCCGCCGGACGTTCGTCGGCGAGCCCATTTTCGTCCCCGTCGACGGCGGTGGAGAGCAAGATGGGTATATCCTTGTAGTTGAGGTAAGACGTTACATTCTTTTTATTTTATTTTATTTTATATATATATACTCTATCCGACCCATATATACCGGTATGAAGTAGGAATAAAATATAAATGACTAAAATAACCTTATTAATATGGTGTGACATAAAAGTAATTAATGATATTCTTGCAATATATTACTATAAGTTATAATCGTATTTGTAATGTTAATATTCTGTTATGAGAAGAACCAAAATAGATAGTTTGTTAAGGGACGAGAATATGCAATACGAATTTTTTATTAAAAAAATATATTATGATTTGATTTAATTTTAATTTGGCGATGAAGTTATGATTTAATTTGAATATATAATAATATTATTGTTGACTGGATTAATATTAATTGCAGTATGCAATGGCGAGGGAGCGGTGCTTTTTGGTGGTCCTGGACTCCCGATTGATTGGGGTTGATGGTCGTGATCCTGTGGTGGCCAGGTTTGAAGTTCCCAAGCACCTCAGGTTTCCTCTCGGATTTCATGGCTTTTGGGCTCCGGGACCTTGCAATGATTTCATTTAGATGGCATTGGTAATTTGTTTACCTAACAGGTTTTAATTTACTCAATAATTCTTAACTGTTTTTTAAATTAAAATGTTTGATAAATAATTTTTTTTTTTTTTAAACAGTTTATTGCAACGTAAAAATTAATTTTCCAAAAGCTATTATTGTCCCTCAAAATATTTTCAGCAATTTTTCGAAAAGAACCGGCCGAACGGTAGGAGATATTCCGGATTCCTTAAAAAAGATTCCGGAATTTTTGCGTCATTGTACTTAACATTAAAAATATTCTTATATTTGTATAATTTTTTTGTACAAATATTTCTCTATTAATATTATAAAACACTAACAGGAGTATTCTTGTAAATTTTTCTTAATTTATACTACGTTTTGATATAATAATTAATATTCAAATATCAACATACAAAAGTAAATGAGATCCTCAGAGCTGGACGAAATTAGTATATTTTTTTCGAAAAATTAATATATTACACATATCTATTATTTTTATATTATCTATACGATTTTTCATACTTTTCTTAAAAACAAATATATTTTTAAACTATTTCACAAAACAAATAAATTATTTTTCTTGTAGAAGAAAAGCCAAAAGAAATATACACTAATTCTTAAATCTAAATTTGTTAGAATTTAATCGTATTCTTAAAATTTACTTTTTATTCTAATAATTTCATCAAACAATAAGGTTGCATCATCCCTTCCTCGGTTGTAATAAAATTTTCACTTATTTACTTATTTTATTTGTTCTTAAACACTAATAATTTTTCTTACACAAATATTAATATTTTTATTGCATTATTTGAGAATTATTTTAATATATGTTAATTTTTTATAAGTTATAAATTTATTTTTATAAATTTTAAGTATGTGAACTATTAATATACATATTATTTTATTTATAAAATTTATAAATTTATTAGAATGAATAGTTTTCTTGGTTGTGATTTGAAATATGATGTTAGATTCGACTTTTTGTTTAAATAATATTGTGACATTATATTTTATAATAAAAAAATAGTATTATTTCTGTCTCGGTTAAAATGACTTTTTTCATTAGAGACACAATATTTAAAGTAATGAGATTTAATTAATTAATAATATTAAATTAAAAATATTATTTTATCATTTTTATGTGAATATTATTATTGTAATTTTAAAATTATAATTGATATATGATTAAAATACAATAGAATTAGTGTTTAAATAATTTAATAAAATATAGGAGTATGTAATATAAATATTGAGAATAACATTTTAAACGATACAAATAAATAAAAATTATATTTATTTATTTGTAGATTTATATCACTAAACTAATGCACACACCCATTAATGAACTAATAAAAATGGGCTTAGGTTTATGGTTAAGGGCTAAAGGGTTTGGATTAAAAAAGGATTGGGCCGATCTGTTGGGCAGACTAAGGAATTAGTCGACTCATCTAATTCATCGAGGAATTCGTTAGGTTAGACTTCGAATGACCAAAATTTCCAAAATATCTCATCTATTTTGGTCGTGATTTAACCAAATTTAAAATACTATTTACTAGATATAGATTTACCTTGTACCAATGAGTTTCATCAAAGTCTTTTGTCTCTCACTGTATCAACGAACAAACGGTAACGCAGACAAAATACATCACACATAGAACACATAAATCCTAATACGCACCTAGATAGATCACATAGCAACTTAACACATTGTACAAACATATACTACACAATTGAGCAACATACATGCATAATCACAAAATGAAAACAATCACATGCCGATTATAAAACTTAGAATCACACAACACGAACTCCACCTTATTTGACATCAACTAAAGAACACTAATCACTAGACACAAAGAAAATCAGACACTAAACTGTACGGCTCTAGCACAAAGTCCTACGCCTAAACACCTAAATTGATCGATAATTACCACTAAGATCTCCGGAGACTCAACCACTCAGACATTCTACTTAAAATAATATTAAACAACCTAGGAAAAAACCTAAAAGAACACTAAGCAAGTAAGAAGAAAACTAACCCTAAAAAACATTAAGCAACTAAGAGGAAACATACTAAGCACCTAGTTCGACCGACCGAACCCTATCACAAGAAATACTCAGGAACACAATCACAAAACAAGCAATCAATTCAAGCATTTTTACCAAAAAATTACACAATGCAACAAAACTAATTTTTTTTTTTATTATTATCCTCCAATTATACATTCTTTTTAGGCATTTTTCAATTAATACCTCATGCATTTTCTATCTCACAAAAAAAATAAAATAAAAACATGCATCTACTATAAATAACTAGCACAAAAAATTTCACAAAGATGTCAACATAACCAAGAAACACAATAAAGATATAATAATCAAAGAACAAAAATAAATCCCAAAAAATTTCACAAAAAAAAAAAGAAACCGCAAGAAAAAAAAAAATCAATTTCAAGATTATTCAATCTAATCATAAAAAAAATGCATAATCAACAAACACCAAGAAATTCAATATATTATTTAATCACTAGATTCAACAAAAACAATTATATATCGAAAATAAAGCGATCAGGGATTAATATTTTACCACGGATCGATTCCTATCAAACTCGAACAAAAAAAATTCTTTCAATTTCGGAATTAATTATCGGGCTCTGATACAACTTTTGTGAATTTATATCACTAAACTAACTCACACACCAATTAATGGACTAATAGAAATTGGGCTTAGATTTATAGTTAAGGGTTAGTAGACTGAGTTAAGGAGTGAGTCAACTTATTATTATTATTTTTATCTGATAGTCAATTTATTTTATTTATGAAAAGATTCATTAGAATTTGATTTAAACAACAAAAAATCCCAACAATTTTTTCTTCAATCTTTATAATATGTTCAAATTGAATTCAAACAATAGATACTCGAATTTACTCGACTTTTTTAACAGTTTTGAGCATGAGCTTCTTTCTATTTTATTATTAATATTATTATTATTAATCATTAATTAAAGTAGGGCACGTGAAGATGCACGTGGCGTGTATTTAGCTTGGGGATCATAAATCCTCCATGCTTTCACGTGCCTCAATTATAATAATAACAAAAGAGTTCTCGTCGTAAGTATTATTCTAAGTATTTACACCATACTTATTTTAAATAATATAATAATAAAAAAAATTAAATAAAGATTCATTATAATTTCATATAGTATAAAAATTAATACCAAATGTGCTGTAATAATTATAATAGTAATATTATATTTCCTCCGTCCAGCTAGAAAGTATACATATTTTTATTTTGGGACGTCCAATTACAAAGTAAACATTTTATTAAATACCTCATTTTTTTTCACAAATACCGTAACTTTACATCATATCATTACTGTTACACCAAAAAATAAGGGCAAAAATATCATTACACTATTTTTAACTACTCAATAAATATTTAGTTTGTGTGTGGACGGAGGGAGTATTAGAGACCTCCTCTCAATATATGTATCCTCGTGGCAAATTTATGGGCTACAATTTTAATACTCTCTCCGTCCCGCGAAATTAGTCGCGTTTCTTTCTTTTTGACGCGAAGTTTTAAAAAATTTGATTTATATAGTTAATTAGTGTGATTAGTTAATATACTAAATTATTGATATAGACCGATATATCAAATACTAAAATATCAAACTGTATTGATATTTTCGGTATATATTATACCAATAATGCTAAAAGTATGTGCAATTGTCGTACTGAAAATGTTCAGTATGGTATCATACCATATAAAAATTTACGATATACAATAATTTTGACACTTTAGTATTTTTTCATACAGTACTTGCATTATTTGAGCAAATTGATATTTTTCACTCTTAATAATAGTGATAAATGAATTTTTTTTTAATGAAATATAAAAATCAAATTCTAAATCAAATCTATTACTATTAACTAAATTTCAATCGTAAAATATCAAATCAAATATTTTTTATATTATATCAAAAATTAATTAAAATTTTTAGATATCATATAAACATTTATTTATATCATATTGAATATTTATATTTATTATTCAAAATTATAGCCCTACTTTTAAATTTACAATAAAACAAATAAAAAAATGTAGGAGTATTAGTAATTGAATTAAATATAATTAAATTTGTAACGTAATTAGTATTTACTAATTATTACTATATTAGGAAATATGATTGATTTCGCGTTACGGCCAAAAGAGGAAAATGTGGACTAATTTCACGAGACGGAAGGAGTATACATATATATATATATATATATGCATTTTGCCTATTGTGCTTATTGGATCAAATTAATACGATAATACATAATTACAAAAAAGACCATACATATCCGAAAGTATACGTTAATACAATATATAATTTTATGTAATACAATATATATTGATTTCAGCACAAGTGTGTTTACATTGAATGATTAGTATGAATAATATTATTTTATACAATCTAATTATGTGTTCACTATGTATTACTATAATTCTGAGATTAAGTAAAACCCGATATAATAATTCTATAATAAATGATTATTAATTATTCTCTTATATATGGTAGTATTAAGCAATACTAAGATATAATTAATGTAGAAAGACTATTTTAATCTATAATTAATACATAACTTACTATTAATTTTATTATTTAATTAAAGGTATTTTAAGCAAAATTTATAATTTTATTATCCCTCCGTCGCAATACAATAGTTATGTTTATCATTTTTGTCAATCTCAAAACAATAGTCTCATTTCCATATATAATCATATCACTATAAAACTATAATTATTTTTTCATTATTATTACACAATTGCCACTACTTTTTACACTAATACACTCACAAGTGAAAAAAAATATTTTATATGTACTTTTTACCCACTACCAATATAATATAAATATTCTTTAGATCTCGTGTCAAACTCAACCCAAACTATAGATTTGGAACGAAGAGAGTACAACAATTCGTTATAGTAAACATTGAATTATTATATCATATGATTATATATTCTATTAAAATATAAATGTATTGTAATTTTTTCATACAAAGTAAACTCAATATAAATAGATTATACAATATAATTATAATCCACGAGACATATGTTTCTATACAATACAACATATACGATTTGTCATGTGATGAAATATTGATTATTTCAAATTAATGTGCACCCTAACAGTTGTGTGTGTATATATATATATATATATATAGGAGTAGTTACCCTATTTAATTAAATAAATCAATATTGTGCTGATTTTTTAAAACAATACAGATATACTATACACATAGCACATATTTTTATTTCAAAGCGCATGCGGTGTGAAATAGAAACATATGCTAGATGTTTATACTTTTATAACATGTGTTGTACATGATCATATTATACGCTAAAATCAAATATATATTGTATGAGATTATATAATGTGTCGTATTTGTATTATATATATTATACTCCATCCGTCGTAATACGATAGTCCTGTTTACCATTTTTGTCCGTCCCAAAACAATATTATCATTTTCATAAATAATCATATTACTATAAAGCTACCATTACATTTTCATTATTATTACACAATTGCCACTACTTTTTACACTAATACACTCACAAGGGCAAAAAAGTCTATTTTTTACCCACTATCAATATAATATCAATATTCCTTAAATCTCATGTCAAATACAACTCAAACTATAATTCTGGGACGGAGTGAGTATATTCTTTCCTTTCGAAAATTTAATTTATTTATTCATTTTCAGTCCGTTAAATTTAGTCCATTATTATATCTGAAAAAGTAGGAAAGAACATTAATTATTACTTCATTCATCACTTATTTACAAAAAATACCACTATCTTTATTATATTTTTTTTCATTCATTTTTTCTAATCACTAACTAAATTTTCAAAAACACATCAAACTATTATTTTAATTTTTCTATTTTTCAATAAAAGTTATATACTATATATTTTAAATTTGCGCATCAACTCCGAATGAACTGCTAATTTTTACGGATGAAGAGAGTATGTCATATATAAATAAATGAAGGGAACACACTCATGCATAGTAACGGAACCAGCTGTAAAAATTTGGGGAGGTAAAATCGATTTTTTTTTTTTTTTAATCGATTCAATGTGGTTTTTTTTTATTCATGGTATGTACATCTTGACAAAAATTAAAAAAAAAAGTTGAAAATTTTAAATATTTTAGAAAAATTTCAACAAAATTAAGTAAGATTTAATATTTTTTTACTATAAAAAATAAATTTTAAAAACTAAAAGTATAATTTATAATTTTTTATATTATAAAATAAAAAATTAAGAGGAATAAATTACTATAAAATATATAATTATATTACTTTTTATATAAAAAAATATACATATATTTTGAGTGTTGAGAAGTCACCCATAGCCCCATGTAGTTTCGCTCGTGCTCATGCTCATACACACCTATAATATAAAAATATGTAAATACTTCCCAATATAAATAAATAAATAAATACCCAAATTGTCAAATTAATTAATTAGGCCCCGCAAATCTATAGCATAAATTAGTAAGAGGTCAAAATGATGCACGTGAAGGCATATGCTAAGTATCCATTGGCCATTTAAATAATTATTCGTAATTAAGCGAGGGGGCAATTTTTTGTTAGTTTTAAATTATTTTTCACTTTATATATATATTTTTTTGTAATAATTTTTATAATTTGCATTATATGGAGTAATATATGAAAAAATATTGTAAAATTTTTGAAATATTTTAAATTAAATACACTCGTAGTTTGTGAAAATGGTAGGAAACTCTAAACTGTATTTATTTTGTGAGATAATTTGAATGAGTATTTTTAATGTGATGTATAAAAAATTGTGTAAAAATTATAAAATAATGAATGTGTATGATACTTCTCTCTCAGTTTTTCATCAAGTCACATTTACATTTTGCGTCATTGTACTTAACATTAAAAATATCTTTATATTTGTATATTTTTTTTTTATATAAATGTCATTCTATTAGTATTATAAGACACTAATGAAAGTATTTTTGTAATTTTTTTTAATTTATACTACAGTTTGATATAATAATTAATATTTAAAGATCAATACGCATAAAATAAATTGGAGCCTTGAAACCGGACGGAAATAGTATATTAATATTTTCGAGAAATTATATGTATTTTTTTTGTTAAAAGAACAATCTATTGTCTTAAAATTACACATAATTTTTAAACCATTTCAAATAATCATATACCATACCAAAATAAATTTATTTTTTACTTAAAATTACAAATATAATTATTTAATGTGAAAAAATAAAAATGTCGAAAATTTTTATACATTTTTTTACTAAATGAGGTAGCAAAAATATTTTTAAATTTAGAGAATAATATAATAATATTATTGCAATTAATGTCATTGAATGGTACAGTTATTTGTTGTAGGTTGGTTCGTAGTCGTCAAATAATATTATCGTAATTAATTTTTTTTTACTATTTTTATTTTTTATTATTTTTAAAATTTCATTATATAAGAGAAACTAGAGTCTATATGTTATTACATCTTTCTAAATAAAATGGAAATGGATACATTTGTAGATAATTTTCTAAACTTGCCTCTCAACGAAGTCGACGCCGCCACCGTCGCAGCCGAGTCCCCGCTTGCCACCGCGGCTGCAGCTGCCGGAAATTCCTTTGAAAAATCGTCGCAAACCAAGGATTCTTCTCACTTAACCGATCTTCTATCAATGCCGGTTAGTTTAATTATTTGCCTCCATCGAATTCAAATTCTATTCTCTTAACAAAAATATATATGGATTTATTATAAATATCATTTTTAACAATTATTTCATAAAATTTCTTATAGATCGACGATGCAGCTGAATTGGAATGGCTATCGAGATACATGGATGACTCATTTACTGATATGCCGAGTGATTCTACGGATTTTCAATTAGGAAATACTACGGGACGAGTTCGGAGCAAGCGCAGCCGAATGTCGGAAGGCGGTGCTGCGAATAGGAAAGAATGTTTCGGCATCGAAATAGCAAGAAAATGCACGCACTGCGCGTCCGAGAAAACGCCTCAATGGAGGTCCGGGCCTTTAGGGCCAAAGACACTTTGCAATGCTTGCGGAGTCAGGTACAAGTCAGGGCGCTTGGTCCCGGAGTACCGGCCAGCGGCAAGTCCGACTTTCGTGTTAACTCAGCATTCGAACTCCCATCGGAAGGTTCTGGAACTTCGTCGGCAAAAGGAGATGCTTCAACAGTAGGAGGAGAAGGAAGGGTAAAATAGTCATTTCAAGATTTTCTTATATCAGTAATCATATTGTAGAGGATGCATTTGTATTCCAAGTTATATAAGAAAGTTTTCAAATACTGTTGGGTTTCTAAATAATTTTCAATATATATATATATTTTATTATATAAATTATAGTAATAGATATTTTTAAAAAAATTCTACTAAATATATAATATTATATTTGCTTTTCTAATAATATTTATTTGATATTTTATTTTTTAAAATAAAATTTTAATTAAATAATTTATAGGTAAAAATAAATATATATTTTTTTCTTTTATGGTTTAATAAGTAAAAAAAAAGAAAAGAATAATATTATTGACTATTTTTATAATTTAATTACAATAGTATTAAATAAAGAAAATATAATTTAATTATATATATAATGATTATAGTAGCATTTTTATAAAATATATACATATTTTATATAAATATATAGCATAATATATAAAAATATAATAAATATAATTTTTATTTAAGATATAAAAAATTGACGTTTGTAATATAAAAATATCGCATATAATTATTATTTAAATTAAAAATACAAAATAAAAGAAACCCATATCATCCCATATGTATTTATACACAGCATCACTTGTTCAATGGACAGTAAAAGTCCTACAATTAATCAATTTATTTGAAGGATATAAAAAATTCATCCAATGTTTTATAGAGTTTGTCTCAATAGTTATCATACTTTCTAAATTATTTTATTACACTATGTAATTTATTCTTATTTCTAGACTTACATAATATTTCATTCGTCCCAAAATTATAGTTTGGGTTGAGTTTGACACAAGATTTAAGGAATATTGATATTATATTGGTAGTGGGTAAAAAATTCGGGTAAAAGATTTTTTTGCCACTATAAGTGTATTTAGTGTAAAAAGTAATGGCAATTGTGAATAATAATGAAAAAGTAAGAAGTTTTTTAGTGATATAATTATTTATGAAAATGAGACTATTGTTTTATAACGGATAAAAATGGTAAACAAGACTATTATATTAGAATAGAGGGAGTATAAAAAATTACCAAAAAAAAAAAACCAAATCACTTACAAATAAATACAAAAATAATGCTACTCAGAGTAGCAAGTTTGGTTAACTTAGACTATCCGCATTCATAAAACTCTTAATGAGTTTCTTCCGTTTCTCTTCTCTTCCACGTTATATTCTCTCTAGCACCTTATTTAGGAATGGGAATAGGCCAAGCCCGTAGGCCTATATAAGGTCTAGCTTGGCCTGATCTATTTAATAAAAGGAGCAGGTCAAAATTTTATTAAAAGTCTTTTTATTTAAATAAAACAGACTTAGGCTTAAAAAATAGTCTTTTTAATTAACAGGCCGGCCTATTTATTATTATTATTTTATAAAATATATTTTTATTATTATATATTAAAAATACCTTTCTATTTAATAATAATATTTATTAAATAATTTCAATTATAAATTTATTATAAAAAATAGAATTTTAAATTTTTATATATATAAAATAATTGTATGTACTTTTTTTTTTTTCTAATACTAAATTTGCAAATAAATAAATAAACAAAAATATTATATAGTCTTTTGAATAGGTTTATAGGCCAGGTCAGACTTTTAAAAATGGCAGGTTCAAGCTTTAAAAAAAAAAAAAATTTCAGGCTACAAGCTAGGCTTAGGCCAAATATTTTTAAAATAGGCCAGCCGCCTATTTCCACCACTAACTTCATCCTAGAAACTCATCTCTTTTTATACTCGCATCAAAGAAACACTTTATATAAATTTTAATTTTCTTTTTATCTATATTATCTATCAATTTTTAAAATAATTTAAATAATAATAATTTTATCTAATATATATATTTATAAATATGTATTTATTATAATAATTTAATTTATAAATTATACTCTTTCCGTCCCACATAATTTGTCTTTATTTTTTATTTTCGTCTGTCTCATATAAGTTGTTCTTATTTTTTTTAAAAATATAATTATACACTTTAATTACATTTTAAACTTTATATTTTATAATTTTTCAATCTAAATTAAAGTATTTTAAGTATTTTAATTTTAATCTATAATTATTTTTAATATATAATAATTATTTTTACTAATACACTTCTTAATTACTTATTAATCATACTTTACATAAATTCCCGTGTCTACAGTAACACGCCCAAATTACCTCGGACGGAGGGAGTAACAAATATTTATTAATATGATTATTATTATTTTACTATTATTATTATTATGTTTTTATTTTTAATTTTAATTTTTTTTCTAAAATTCAATTACATATTTAGTAATTATATATATATATATTTTTTATTATTTTTGTAATTTATTAGATAAATTATAAGATCATTACAAAATTAAATTATTATTAATAATATTATTAAATAATTATATTTAATTAAAATTTATCAAATAAAAATATGTTAACATTTATTAATCATAATAATTAATTAGATTTAATTAAAAAAATATATTCAATATTGATATATTTTCTTTAAAAAAATAAAATTTTAAATAACAAAATATCCATTGCATTTTTTAGTAACGATACTATTTACATAACATTACAAATACCCTTACAACTTACAATATAGTATTACACAAATGTCATTATATTTATATCACATAATACTAATAAATTTATTTTAGTTATTTTTACTTTATTTTTACTACATCCCAATATAATACTAATATTTTTAAAACTTCGTACAAAAAATAAACGGATACATAATTATAGGACGGAGGAAGTATATATTATCGATATCATTTTTTATATTTCACATTAAAAAAAAAAAAAAAAAAAACAATGAAAAATGCTAAACAAATAAACCCATTGTACCTTGAGACTTACATCATCAACGACGAGTTCAGAATTGAAATCGCTTTGGGGTGTGTTTGTTTAGGGGTTTGGATTTTGAGTTGGGATTTGAATAGTAAAAATTTTGAATTTGAATAGTTGTATGATGTGATATAAATAGGTGTTGATGTGATGTTTTGAATGTAAAATTGATTTTTAGTATAATATAAAAAATGAAAAATAGGTGTTTGATTTGATGTTTTTGGGTGGAAAATTTTGGATGAATAGTGGGATTTTGTCAAAATCCATCAAACGAACACACCCCTTGGTGTATTTGTTTAGGGATTTGAATTTATAAATAATACTATATTGTTAAATTTTAAGTTATTATTTGTTTTGATATAAATATACGTTAATATAATATTTTGAATGAAAAATTAATTTTTTATATATTATAAAAAATAAGTATTTGATTTAATATATTTTTTAAAAAAATTAATTAATTAATTTTTTTTAAAAAAATAAGCATAACCTTTTAAAGCTCTGATTTTTTTTTTTTTTTTTTAATGTACCTGCGGTCACTATTCTTCGAATACGTTTTAATAAACCCTTGGCCAAACTCCATAGCAAACAAATTAAGATTGACAAAATAAATCAAACTATATAAAAGCCCGACAAAACAAATCACAATAGTTTAAATCCACGAACTTACAGTCATAAGTGCACAGTATCATCTTTTTATTGTACAATCCTTGTAATCCCATCTAAATTATATTAAAAAATTTTATAATAAGAAAAATATATATATTCCCTCCATCCTAGATAATTTGGACGCATTACTGTAAATACGAGAATTAAATAAAATATAATTAATAAATAATTAAAAATATATTAATAAAAATAATTATTGTATAATATAAATAATTATAAAATAAAATTAGAAAATAACTAAATAACTTAATTAAGATTAAAATATTATAAATTTAAATTTTAAAATATAATTAAAAAATATGATTATAGTGTTTATTTGTGGATTTGGATTTAAAAATTGAATTCGAATAATTGTTTGATGTGATATAAATGTGGCAACTTCCAATAAAATCCTTATTTCTTATTACAAATTCTTATTTACTCCATAAATATAAATATCTTCTTCTTTATTCCCTATTTTTATATATATATTTTTATGGCTCTCTATTTATTTCAAAAGACCATAATACCCTTATTTATTTCCATTAACTATTTTAATCATTCTCCTCAATTTCATAAAATTGATCTTTATTTTTTAAAAAAATTTCTTATGGTGAATAAAATAAAAACTAATAAAAAATCAACCACATAAACAAAAGTAAGGGCAATACTTAAATCATTATGTAAAATATTTATTAAAAAATTTGTTTCGACCGACTAAAGTTTGTATAAGAAAAAAATAGGTATTTAAAACACCATGGGTGTGTTTGTTTGAAGGATTTGTGTGGATTTCTACTATTCACACAAATTTTTTCCCACCCAAAACATCAAATCAAACACATATTTTTTATTTTTTATATTATACTAAAAATTAACTTTACATTCAAAACATCACATCAATACATATTTATATCACATCATACAACTATTCAAATTCAAATTTTTTACTATTCAAATCTCAATCCAAAATTCAAACCCTCAAACAAACATTCCCCATGTAGAAATACTAGATGTTCTACAATAAAGTATTAAAATGAATTCAAAAAGTACATAACTTTGTTTTAAAAAGTATATTTTTCTCATATGAAAAGTACAAACATCATAACCTCATTTCGATTTGATGCAATTTACCGTTGCGATTGTTTACTTTTTTTTGGCATAACTCTTGTAAGTTTATTTGTGTTTATAAAAAAATGCAAATATAACTACTCTCAAAACTAAAATTAATCTTTTACCTAGATGTCTAACATAAATCAACATAATCACTTGGGTGTTTGCTCAATTTCGATGTGATGTTTGTGAGCTACTGTGGTTAGGGTGGTTTGAGTTAGTGTTGGAGCTTGCATTGTCGGTGGTTGAGGAAAATTTGTTATCGGTTGTCATTAAAATTGATGATAAGTTAGTTGAGAGAAATTTTTTCAATTAGACTTGTATTTTTATTTGTTATCGGTGAAAATTAAAAATTCAGTTTTCATTATCGATCATTAGATATAAAGAATAAAATTAAAAATTAAAAAAATTGAATTATGACGGAAGAATAATTTGAATAAATAAAATAATTGTAAGGGTTGATATGAGTATGATAATAAGATAAATAAAAAGATATATTTAGGGTATAATAGGAATTTTAAAGGTAAATTTACAAATAGAGAATTGTTAGGAATCAAATTGTATATGAGTACTGAACAAGAAAATATATTGAGATATAGAAATTTTAGAAGAATTAACCAATATTTAACTTAAAATAAATTTGTAGTATAATATAAAAATAAAAAAGTAATTGTTTAATATAATATTTTTAGGGTGTATTTGTTTGGGAGTTTGGATTTTAAGTTTGAATGCTAAAAAATTTAAATTTGAATAGTTATATGATGTAATATAAATAGGTGTTAGTGTGATATTTTGAATGTAAAATTAATTTTTAGTATAATATAAAAAATAAAAAATAGGTATTGGATTTGATGTTTTGGAGGGGGAAAAATTGGATGAACAGTGTATTTGAGAAAAAATCCCCTAAACAAACACCCTAGAGGAAAAAAAGAAATTTAAATAGTAAAAACTCTGATAAAACCCACGAAAGAACGCAACTTTAATTCAAAATATTTTAAGGTTTTGCAAATATTCAAAAAATGAAACACATACACAGATACATCACACAGCTTGAAAATTTAAATATAAAATCTTTCTTAAAGATCAATAAGGAAAATTGATAATTCAACAAAAAAAAGTACTGAAAAATGTCCCATAGGTAATACGAAGGATTTTTTTAGTTTTACAACTATCCCATGCTTTGCTTAATCCAATCTTTTACTCTTTGCGGACAAAGTAAAGCTTACCCATGACATGAAGTATGGCGACAAAAGCTATAAATCCGATGCTCATTACAAGCACGACATTGGGAGAAATCTTGAGTCCTGGAGCGTCATCCGTGTAGAACTGAAGCATGGTTCCACCGGCTCCTCCGGCAGCACCTCCGCCACCGGCTGTTCTTCTCCGGCGAAGATTAGCTGCAGCTGCTGCTGCAGTTCCTCTCTGGGGTGCGGCTCCGCCTGCTGCCATTTCTGCAGCAACAAATTTAACTTCAGAACCAAGCTAAGAAGAGGAATCGCTACTGATAACAATTCATGTAATATATGTATGCACAGAAAGCAGAAAACATATAAGCCGGTGAAAATACATTATAGATAATATTCAGTATTCAGAACATCACAGCTTCAGGTGACAAGAAGCGAATGTAATATCAAAAAGCCTGCAATCTTTATACAATCATTGATAAGAAGAAATTAAACAAGAAATCGAAGAGCAGATAACAAACCTTAGGTTCATTGGTTTGCAAAAGAGATAAAGCATTCATGAATATTCAGGGTTTTGTGAATTCAAGTTGTAATAAGCCCACAATATAGTATTCGATAGGGAGGGACTGGGGAGTTGATTCAATAATAATAAACCAAGGAAACTTCCTTTAGAAGGAGATGTTTTAAAAGCCTAAACCAAACAAACATAACAAAATTTTCATCACCTGTGGTATATGATTCATTCCAATTACACGAATTGATTATCTGTAAAAATAAACACTGCTACAAACAGAGAAATAATTTTTTTATCTTCAACACGTCGCTTCCAAATTCCATTATGTTCTAAGGGAGTAACTACATTCCCAACTTTTACACAGCTGTTGAGTTTTAAAGGACTTAACAAAACTCAAAGACATATATTGCGATATGCGACAGATGACTTAAAAATAACCATTTATTTGACAAGCATAACTAAGAATACAAATTCCCCAAACCGTCCAGAACAATTCGATGGTATATCTCAATTATATGCCAAAAAAACATAATCCGCTACACACAAGAGCAAAAAGCGTTCTATCACAAATAACTTCAAATTTGGCGGCTGAATTATCAGGAAACGGTACAGTAAAACATTCGACAAAAAGATCGCAGCGTTCCTTCGCCAAAAGAGAAATAACAAAGTAAAAGTAGACAATATAATCTATATCCGCGTGTAAACACCAGATCTCATGTTCAAGTAGAGCAAACCGATTAGATGCATCAAACTAAACGAAATATAAACTTTAAAAAAATAAATAAATAGATCTGAAGCACATAATTGGAAAAACTAAAACGAATCCATTAATCAGAAGCAACAATTCGTAGAAAACAAATTATAGAATCCGTAATACTATAATTAGTTCAAGAAACGAGTGCAGAAATTCAGCAGTCACTCACCTTACACCGTAGAGCTGAAATTCGAGGTTGATTCAAGGATGGATTTTCTCGATTTAGGGTTTAATTGGTTTTCAGACGAGATCACGAGATGTTGATGAGAATTTACAGTTCATATATATATATATGAGCGGACACATCGACGAGCCAATGATTTTAAGCCACGTCGACCGCTATGCTGACTCATCTGTTTTGCGGCTAATCTATATTGAAATTTTAAAGATTAATGGTGTGTTTGTTGAGTATTTTGATTTGGAGTATATATATTTTTTAAGAGTATAAAAAATAGAAACTTGTATGATAATATGCAAAATTAGAAAATTTTTAAATCTTTGATAATTTAATATTTTATAAAAGAATATATATAATAGGTGTATAATATTTTTAAAAAATTATACCAAAAATTTCCGATATAACTATAGGATATATTTAGTTGCAAATTTGAATAAAATTTTTACTATTCATTGATATTTTAGAAACAATATTAAATGACATTCTATTTTATTTTTTAATTAAATTCTCTCTATCTCAATCCAAATGATTATTTTGGCACAATATTAAAAAATAACAATAATTTTCTTTTGGTCGGAAAGAAGGTGTTATTTATTTATTTATTTCATTCGTCCTAAAATAAAGTATTTATTATGTTTAGTAATCATATTACATATTTAATAATACCCCCGTCTGGCTCTAAGGATGTCATTTATTTTTTGCGTGTTGATTTTTTAAAATTAATTATTATATGAAAAACTTAAGTACAAATTAAGAAAAAATAATAAAAATAATTTTATTAGTGTCTTGTACTACTATTATAATGAGATTAGTACAAAAAATTATATAAATATAAAAATATTTTTAGATGTTATGTACAACAGAGCCGGAGGAATGGAATATTAAAAATATACAATTTAGAATATATTACACAAATATTATTATTTATACTCCCTCTATCTCGTTGTTTTTTTTTTTTTTCGTTCAACTTCAATTGACATATTTTTATTCTTAGTTTAATTTACTAAATATAAGCATGCTTTAACAACTATAAATCAATTTAATTAACTTAATAAAATATAATATAATACATCACCTAGCATCCACTCAAAATCCTTTTATTTCTATCTTTCTTCAATAAACAAATATTTTTTTCTATATTTCAAACTTTTACTTTTTATAAAATTAGTTTTATCTTAATTATAAATTAATAAATATGTTTTTATTTATTTGTATTATTTAAAATTTTATTCTCTCAAAATTAATATTCATATTGCATATATTTTATTGAGATATAATATTTAAAATATTTAAACGCATATTTCAAATTTATTTTAATCATATATATTAAAACTATCAATAATATATTACTCATATAACAATATAATAAAATAATATCATAGTTTAATCCTATTAACTAATTTAAAATTTTTACCTTAAATACTGTGTTACAAATCAAACGAGCCATTTGATTTGAGGGAGTATTATATAACATTGATAAAAGTATTTTTTGTCATTTTTTTTTTAAATTTATACTACATATAAATATAGTTTTAATATTAAAAAATTCAAAAAAAAAAAAAGAAACTTACTCCGGGATGATGGGAGGATATGGTGTGTTTATTCGAAAAAATTTCACTATTTATCAATTTTTTTCGTTCTAAAAAAATAAAATCAAATACTTATTTTAAAAATTTTTGATATTATACTAAAAATTAATTATATATTTAAAATATCATATTAATACTTATTTATATTATATTATATAATTATTTAAATTTAATTTTTTTACCATTCAAATTTCAAAACAAGCACACCCTTATGTGTGGGAATAAAGTAAATGATAAAAAAGTAATTTTACCATTACTTTTATAGGTGAAAACAAGATTTTGGTGACATTAGTGTAAATATAATTGAAATGCAAATATAGTTTTGTTGTAATTGTAAAGTGGGAGTATAACATTATGTTATTAAAAAATATCAACGGAAAGAAAGATTTTATTAACGAAATCAAGTAAAAATATTGAATTAGATTTGATTTTGATGGCTCAGTCCAAAACCAAACTCAGAATCACAAAATCGATACAAATATACACCTAAAACATGAAAAACACACAAAAATCTATCCTAACAATCTATGATAAACAAAAAAATGGATTGAGGGAAAGGATGAGAGAGGCTAGAGAGAGACGTTGTTGTAGAGAGATGAAGAGAGCGTATATCATGACGGCTTCTCTCTCATCCTCTATATATATATATTATATCTTATAAACACGAGTTTGTACGGATCTGCCACTTGAAAAGTCTATCATGCCCCTAATTTCGAAAATGATAATTTAGTCCTTAACCTATCTTTGTACTGGCTTGAAAAGACGAGATTGTACGGATCTGCCACTTGAAAAGTCTATCATGCCCCTCATTTCGAAAATGACAATTTAGCTCTTAATCTACCTGAAACATCGTCTGGTCGGTTACATCAACCGCCTCGCCAAATGCCTCCACCAGTTCCAGAACTCAAATAGCCCAACCGACCAATCCAGAGACCAATCGCTACACCAAAAGACTTCTTGGCCGCACCAACCAAGCGACCCGTCTATCCGCCTGCGGATCAACTGACTTGCCTATCTGACCGCAGACCAGCCGACCTACTTTATCCGACCGCAGACCATCAGACCTGTCTGTCCGACCTGCTGACCATCAGACCTGTCTGTCCGACCGCTAACCATCCGAACGAGGACCAACCGACCATACCTACCGACCGAGGACTTTCCGACCTGCCAATCCGACCTGATCATCCGACCGAGGACCAATCGACCAGACCAACCGACCGAGGATCTTCCGACCTGCCTATCCGACTGCTAACCAACGCACCTGACCATCCGACCGAGGACCAACCGACCTGAGGCAAATTTTTTTCTTTTTCCACCCGACTTCGTGTCTATCTTCCTTTAAGATCCTGCTATCCTTATTTTTATTATTATTATTATTTTTTGTGCGTAACAATGATCAAAGTTGAAATATCCTTCCTATTTTTGACATTTCAAAACTCATAAAGAGATGCAGGTCACCCTTCTTATCTCAAACATTTCATCTACATTCTCCTCTATTTTATTTTTTATTGTTGTTGATGCAATTTTTCAACAATAAAAAGTAAAATATGAAAATAAAGTGTTGATGTATTTTTTCAACAGACAAAAAGTAAAATTCAAAGATATGGAAAATATCCTTAAATTTGATTAATTAGCGCATGAGATTAGGAATCTCTAATTCCTCCTTTATTGACACGTGCCTTGCACCGTCTAGCCAAACGCTTCTACCAGTTCCCGAACTCAACTTGTCCGACCGACCATTCCAGAGACCAATTGCTAGACCAGCCGACCTACTTTATCCGACCTACTGACCATCAGACCTGTCTGTCCGACCTGCTGACCATCCGACCTGTCTGTCCGACCTGCAGACTTCTCGACCTGACCACTTTTCGTCTTGACGACCTCCCGACCTAAGGACTTCCCAACCTGACCACTTTCCGTCTTGAGGACCTCCCGACCTGAGGACTTCCCGACCTAAGGACTTCCCGTCCTGACCACTTTCTGTCTTGAGGACCTCCCGACCTGAGGACTTCCGGACCTGACCACTTTCCGTCTTGAGGAACTCCCAACCTGAGGACGTCCCGACCTGAGGACTTCCTGACCTGACCACTTTCCATCTTGAGGACCTCCCGACCTGAGGACTTCCCGACCTGACCAACCGACCTGACCAACCGACCTGAGGGCAAATTTTTCTACTTTTCTGCCCGACTTCGAGTTCTACCTTCGTTCAAGACCCTGCTACCATTATTTTTATTATTATTATTATTTTTGTACGTAACACCTTAAATTTGATTTTTTAGCGTATGAGATTAGGAATCTCTAAACACTGTACGGTACATAAAAGGAAATTGACTGAAAAATTAAAATGCTGAAAATTTAAAGTGGTGATCCCCAAATCTGACTTTGCTTTGTTGAAGTTGATTGAAGATGCTTGAAAATAAAAAATCTAAATCCTTAAATATTACTTGAAAAGACGTTTTGGAACCGTCGCCAGCAACCGCCGTCAACCGCCCAAGACGAAACGCTTTGAAACGTCGTCTGGTCGGTTACATCAACTGCCCACTAATTCCTCTTTTATTGACACGTGTCTTGCACCGTCTCGCCAAACGCTTCCACCAGTTCCAGAACTCAACTGGCCCGACCGACCATTCAAGAGACCAATTGCTAGACCAGCCGACCTACTTTATCCGACCGCAGACCATCAGACTTGTTTGTCCGACCTGCTGACCATCAGACCTGTCTGTCCGACCTGCTGACCATCCGACCTGTCTGTCCGACCTGCTGACCATCAGATCTGCAGACTTTCCGACCTATGGACCATCCGACCTGCTAACCAACCAACCTGACTGTCCGACCGCAGACCTTCTGATATGTCTGTCCGACCTGCTGACCATCAGACCTACAGACTTTCCGACCCGCTAACCAACCGACCTGACTACCCGACCTGAGGACTTTCCTTCCTCATGACTTTCCGTCTTGAGGACCTCCCGACCTGAGGACTTTCCTTCTTGATGACTTTCCGTCTTGAGGACCTCCCGACCTGACCAACCGACCTGAGCGCAAATTTTTCTACTTTTCTGCCCGACTTCGGGTCCTACCTTCCTTCAAGACACTGCTACCATTATTTTTATTATTATTATTATTATTTTTGTACGTAACAAGACCTTATGTATTAGTTGATTTTGGTATTAAAACTTGTATGTTGTTATACACGAGACTGTACGGATCTGTCACTTGAAAAGTCTATTCTATCATGCCCCTCATTTCGAAAATGACAATTTAGCTCTTAACTTACCTTTGTACTGGCTTGAAAAGACGTTTTGGAACCGTTGCCAGCAACCGCCGTCAACCGCCCAAGACGAAACATTTTGAAACGTCGTCTGGTCGGTTACATCAACCGCCTCGCCAAACGCCTCCACCAGTTCCAGAACTCAAATTGTCCAACCAACCAATCCAGAGACCAATCGCTAGACCAAAAGACTCCTTGGCCGCACCCACTAAGCAACCTGTCTATCCGCCTGCGGACCAGCTGACTTGCCTATCCGACC